AAGAAGGAGAGGAAAGAGAAAGGAAAGAGAAAGAAAGCGAGGGGGAGAGGAAAGAGAAAAAGAGGAAAGAAAAAAGATTGAGAAAAGAGAGAGAGGAAAGAAAGAGGAAAGAGAAGAGAAAGAGGAAAGAGAAATAAAGGAAAGAGAGAGGAAAGAGAGAAAGGAAAGAGAAAGGAAGGAAAGAGGAAAGAGAAGAAAAAAGGAAAGAAAGGAGAAAGAGAGGAAAGAAAGTTAGAGGAAAGAGAAAGAGAGAAAGAGGAAAGAGAGAGAGGAAAGAGAAAGAGAAAGAGGGGGAGAGGAAAGAGAGAGAGGGGAGAGGAAAGGGAAAGGAAAGAGAGAGAGAGAGAAAGAGGAAAGAGAGGGAGAGGAAAGAGGCATAAAATAATTCATTTGCATTTAATTGTAATGGTTCAAAGAATGTTCGGAAAAATGTTCGGCCCTCCAGCACGTTCATTTCATCCAATCTGGCCCTCTTTGAAAAAAGTTTGGACACCCCTGCTCTAGGGATATAGGTCAGCAACTCAAATTGCCCTCCTTTGTGATGGCTATGATGGATGGAGATGATACAGTCCAAATGCATTTTGAGGGCAATGAGTTGGAGAATGCTAGTGTGAAGGATTTATAATGAGCTTTATTAATTCTTCAGTGATATCAGCTATAAGAATGTGGTTCCATCTCCACGGTCTATTCCCTGAAACTACTTTTCTTCCAACTGGATTTAGGTACCAAAAGGAACCCTGGATAGGAAGGAAAAGTGGCACCCAGGTGGGACTAGTGAGAGAATAGGTTACACAGCTGGCCACATGTCCCTACTTCTAAGATTGGGCCCATCAGCCCACATGTTGGGTGAAATCCATTTTTAAGCTACCCCATGTTGTTTTTATATTTGAGTCTTACCTTGATAAGTTATTGCAATACAACTTGACTCAATGACTACTCCTCAAAAGGTTGCAGGCACCTCTGTAGTTTCTTACTTCTTCTAATTTTCCTGATCATCTGGCATTGTTACCAAGAGAGATATTTTCTGACGCCAGTCTTAATTATCTTGGAGAAGTTAGGAATTATTCTGAAATCAGAGTTTCAATAAATAAATAGTTTTCTAAATACCAAGACATTTATGTATGATTGTCACCTTGAGTTACTTATAAAGTAACAAAGGCGGGCTAAAAATCTAATTCATTTAATAAATAAATAAAAATAAAACCTTGCTTCTAGGTCAAGGGTAGGCAACCTCGGCTCTTTTATGACTCATGGACTTCAACTCCCAGAATTCCTGAGTCAGCCATGCTGACTCAGGAATTCTGGGAGTTGAAGTCCATGAGTCATAAAAGAGCCGAGGTTGCCTACCCCTGTTCTAGGGCATTGTGTTTTTTCTTATGCGTGAAAAAGGGAGAGGGTAGTATCTTTCCTGCCCTCCCCCTCCCTATCCTGTAGAGAGAACCAGGCTCCATACAAGATGGAGCACCAGCAAACATGGCTCTCGCCATAATGGATGATAATGGGAAAGATGTTTAGGGGCAGGGCAGACCTATTCAGAATTACTGAGGACCGATCCAAGTCCTCTGACAGGAAAGATTAAGAAGTGTCCTGTCCTTTTGTACTTTCTCAGGAATCACCTTGTTAATGAATGCTCGTTAACAAAGTGCAATTCTACCAAGATCATCTCAGGTGGAATTGTTTTCATTGAAACTGCTGGGAAACAATGGGGGGAAGGTTCTGAGCACAGGCCTCTCCAAATGGCCTCTTTCTGGTCAAAGATCGAAAAAGGCTGACATTGAACCTATGCAGGTAGTCCTCAAGTTACGACCACAATTGAGCCCAAAATTTATGTTGCCAAGTTCTTGTGGAATACGAAAGGACTCTTACGAATTCCAGAGGGGGTTAGCAGAGAAGTTTATTTGCGCAGGTTCAGAAGCATAAAGACAGGCAATTCTGAACAAGGAGGGCGGGGTTAGACTTCAGTTTTATACTTTCCTTTTCTTAGGAACAAAGGACTACACATTGTAATACACATTGTAATACATTAGGATCGTTTCTCATGGGCATACAATGGTAGGTTTTGCTACATACAAAGTATCTATGTGCAATGCGCATTTGGTTAGTCACATATTACTGACACAGAACTTTCCCAGTGATTATGCATTACATCATTATTCTAGCAATTATGCAGACAAATCATTATTCCAGCAATTGTTCATTTTACTACATTAAAGTGAAACATTTGTTAAGAGTTTTGCCCCATTTTATGACTTTTCCTGCCACCATTGTTAAGTGAACCATTGCATTTGTTAAGTTAGTAACGTGGTTGTTAAGTGAAATCTGGCTTCCCTGTTGACTTTGCTTGTCAGAAGGTCACCAAAGGCCTAGGTCACATGAGCCCAGGAATTGCAACCGTCATGAGCCAGTTGCTAAGCAACTGAATTTTGATCATGTGAGCATGGGGAATGCCGCAACAGTCATAAGTGTGAAAAACGGTCACTTGTTCAACTTTGTAACTTTGAGCGGTCACTAATGAACTATTATAAGTTTAGGTTAGGGCTACCTTTATAATGCCTGTACTTCCCTACTATAAGAAGTGGCAATCCCAACTTTCTGAAGCACCATGGCAAGCTGATGTCTTGCTGGCTTTCACGGACTAGCAAGGCATTATTAAGAGATGATTAAGATCATCCAGATGATTCCGGGCAGGTGTTCTTCATGAGTAGACCAACTGCTCTTTGTACACTGGCTTATGAGTGCAGTTTTTGTATTTTTCTGCTTGTGTTTTTTGTGGGTTGTATTCATTTTTATTCTGTTCATGTATAATTATTAATAAAATTATATGAAAAAAAAGAAGTAGTAATAGTCCAACTTCTCCTAAAACATTTTCCTTTTTATTTTCCTCAGAGAGACTGGAAGCCTGGGTAAATTGTCAATGTCTTTGAAAGAAAATGTCTTAGGCAGTCCTAAAGAATTATTGAAATTAAGTGTTCCTTCGGTTGTGTATGCTGTTCAGAATAACATGGCCTTCCTGGCGCTCAGCAATTTGGATGCAGCAGTTTATCAGGTAATTTGAGTGATGTTCCAAAGTTGAATCCTTTGCCATGTCAGCCAGAAGTATGGTGTTCACACACATGTGGATGTCCCAAAGGTGTTTTTCCAAGAAGTGAAACGTACTGTCCTGAAACTGATGAAGCTTCTTAGATGAAAAGCGAAACATCTTCAAGGAAAAACAAAGTCCAGTTGTCTTTTGGAAAAGCACCTTTGGGACAACCATGACTGAGAATCTCCATAGCTACACATATATGGGTGTTCTTCAGTCAGTGGTTACAGTGTCTAGGCCAGGGGTAGGTAACCTTGGCTCTTTTATGACTCGTGGACTTCAACTCCCAGAATTCCTGAGCCAGCCATGCTGAGGGGAAAGGGAGAGGTTTCCAAGCTGAGCCATGCTGGCTCAGGAATTCTGGGAGTTGAAGTCCACGAGTCATAAAAGAGCCGAGGTTGCCTACCCCTGCTCTAGGGTCATCTGGCACACAAGGAAGACGAACAGCAGTGCTACTGCGAAAAGGTGGCATTGTAACGCAACAATTTTCCAGTAGAAATAGTTTACCCTTTTAGCTATATGCTTCTGAAATAGAAGCATAGAAATCTTCCATAAGAAAAGTGCTTTAGGCCCTCCGTAATTGTGTGAATTTTTGATGTGGTAGGGAGAGAAGTTGGAAACTAAATGGGTGGTCTTAAAAGTTTCATTACTGAAAAATAACAAGGAAAGTACAAAATGTTGAAACATTGGGAAGGTAAGCAAATGATTATCTTTGCTGCCTAGCATTTAATACCATATTCAAAATTAAAGACGACCTGGGTGTACCATCTTGATTGTGACAACTATACTTGGCATTTAACACATTGCGTAGAAGTGGCACTGCAACAATAAAAGTTGATATAATTGGTTACTTGCAGGTAATTAAAACAAAAATTACATTTAACAATATTAGTCTCCATATCACTTGAATGATATAACAATCCTTTTCCCTTACTTTTTTCAATATTAAAAATCATTTTTGGAAGGCTTTTTTGTGCCATATAGATGGGATTATGCATTTCTGAAATAAAACATATCTCAAACTCAATGGTTTAGGTGACATATCAGCTGAAAATCCCCTGCACAGCCTTATGTACCATCCTGATGCTGAACCGTACGCTTAGCCGATTGCAGTGGTTTTCAGTGTTTATGCTGTGTGGTGGAGTCACACTTGTGCAGTGGAAACCAGCTCAGGCTACAAAAGTTCAGGTAAGCATTCTGCCTGGGAGCCTTTATTTTCATTTTTCTTACAGAAAACAAAAACGGTAACTTGTATAAAAACCAGCAGATTTTTTTTTGGGGGGGGAGGAACAATAATCTGAAACCTGTGTTCCTTAGCTGAATGTTTTAATAGAAGTAGACATGTGCTGAATTATACAATTTTCGCTGTACAGGTAGTTCTTGAGTTACGACTACAATTGAGCCCAAAATTTATGTTGCGAAGTAAAACATTTCTTAAGTGAGTTTTGCCCCATTTTACGACTTTTCTTGCCACGGTTGGTAAGTGAATCATTGCATTGTTAAGTTAGTGACATGGTTGTTAAGTGAGTCTGGCTTCCCCATTGACTTTGTCTGTCAGAAGGTCGCAAAAGTTGATCACATGACCCCTGGGACACTATAACCGTCATAAATATGAATCAGTTACCTAGCATCTGAATTTTGATCATGTGACCATGAGGATGCTTCAACAGTCGTAAGTGTGAGAAATGGTCATAAGTCACTTTTTTTAGTGCTGTTGTAACTTTGAATGGTCACTAAATGAATGACTACCTGTATTTTAATATTTAAACATGGGTAAGTTTCGGAGGGCCTAGGCCGGGGCTAGGCAAGCTTGGCGCTTTTATGACTCGTGGACTTCAACTCCCAGAATTCCTGAGCCAGCCATGCTGAGGGGAAAGGGAGAATTTCCAAGCTGAGCCAGGCTGGCTCAGGAATTCTGGGAGTTGAAGTCCACAAGTCATAAAAGAGCCAAGCTTGCCTACCCCTGGCCTAGGACTAGAGCATTCTCCCTTTTCTCAGTAGAAGCCAGCTATCCCCTGGCACCATTTTTATGGGGCTGAAATGAGAAAGGAGTGATTTCAGAACTTCCAGGAAGTTCTTATATTACTAGTTTACAGCACTTTTTTTTCTTTCTGACCTCCCTCTTTTTGCCTCCACTGTTTCCTTCTTTCTGGCTCTCTTTTGCAAGGAAGAGATAAGTTTGAACTAATGGCAAAAGTGTCTGAATTTAGCTTAAGAGTCTGATGAAATAAGCTAATCCCAATGCACCCAAAGGTTTCCTATTCCTGTCCAGGATCATAATAAGCTACTTTACGTGTTACATAAATGCAAAGTGAGATCTGGTAGGGAAAAAAAAATTCCAAATCTGATGCGTACTTACTGGGCGATTGGACTCATTGAATTTAATGGGACGAGTGAGATCTACAAAAAAATATCTGCACTTCTACTCTGTATACCAGTGGTTCTCAACCTTTTTAATGCCGCGACCCCAACCGGTCGTAAGTCGAGGACTAAACTGGTCGTAAGTCGAGGACTAAACCAGTCGTAAGTCGAGGACTACCCAACCGGTCGTAAGTCGAGGACTTTCCCTGCCCGGGAGCGCCGCGCATGCATGGTTCCGCCCCCTGCGCGCCGAGGCGTAGCTGGCAAGCGGCAGAGGCAGAGCAGGCCGACCACCAGCTGGCCCAGCCCAAGGGGAGGTAAGGCACCCGCCGGAAAAGGGGAAAAAATGGTGGACAAAAAAATGGCGGACAAAAAAAATGGCGGACAGCCTTGCTTGGCGACCCCCATGAAATGGTCGATCAACCCCAAATGGGGTCCCGACCCACAGGTTGAGAACCACTGCTGTATACAAAATAGGCAGTATTTTCATCCAGAGCCAGGGATATAGATTTGTTCTCTATTACTTCTTTAACAGAATTCAGTTAACATCAGAAACACTTGGCTGTGTTCTTCGGAAGATAGATTATAGGCAGATGATATGCCACTTATTTGTTTAACAGTAATGCAACTGACAATAGCTAAAGGACCTAAAGAAAAACAAACCTTACTAAACACAGAAATAAGGTACCTGTGTGCAGTGATTGAGGCATTTCCCTCCTTTAGTCCAGAAGGATTGGGCACCTGATTTTATTTTCTGGAGATTATATATTTGCAGCATATCAAACGTTGCAGTTCAACTCATAGGCAAACAATACAGGGTTGCCGAAAAGTATTCTGGCTTAATAAATTGTTGTCCTAAGTTTTGAGAAGTAATTGTTACTAGTAGAGGATAAATAAATTGATTTTCTTCTTTATCACATCTTTAGGTGGAACAGAATCCACTGCTAGGATTTGGAGCGATAGCAATTGCTGTTCTGTGTTCAGGATTTGCAGGTAATAATTAAAACACAGAACATTAACCATGGTATTAGCTTATCTGATAACTCTTGTTTTCTATTTTGTACTACTGCTATCGCTTTATAGTCATTGGGACTTGAATTTCCATTGTTCATCAGTGAGGTTTTAATATGCAAGGCCACATAATCACATTGATTAGCGATGACAATTCTAGCAGTCCCCATTGCCATTCTTAAATGAGGATTGTGGTTCACTAAATGAGGACTTCACATGACGGGACTTGTGACTTCTTGCCAGTTTCAATATGCAAAGTCAATGGAGAAGCCAGTTGAGGAGGTCTCCCACTCCCACTGCTTTTGCACCCCACTGCACTCTGCAGTGCCCAGATCCCACCTGCTTGCATCTGCATTGTGTGGCAGTGCCCAACCATATGTTTGATTGTATTCATGCATGGCACTGCCTACTGTTCACTCTGATATATTCACTCAGTGTAGTGGTGACTGCCCATGTGCCCTCTATTTGTGCCATGTGGCAGTGCTCAGTCCCTGCCTTACTGCAGACGTGTCACATGGCAGTGACCACCTGCATGCTCTGCACACTTCTGCCACCCGCCCAGCCCACCTGAGCTCTGTAGCTATGACCTGCATATCAGCTTGTTTGCAAGCCACCTGAGGAAAGGCTTGTCATAACAGGGACTTGCGATTTCCTACCAGCTTCCCCATATACTTTGCTTGTTGGAAATTGTGGTCATATGACCACAGGGCGCTGCAGATGTTCATAAATATGAGCCTGTTGCCAAGCACGTGAAATATGATCGCATGACTGCGGGACGAGATGAAGCAGTTGTAATTTTGAGGGCAGGTTGTAACTTTTGGGAATTTGTTGTAATTTGAATGGTCGTTAAGCAAAGACTGCTTGTACTGATTTTTCCCCAGTCTCTGCATTTTGTCTGCAAAATTTGAAGAAATGCAAAAGCTTATCTTGCAGTTTGCTAACTTGGGAGTGGGTACCATTAAAGTGGTGTACATGACGTTAATCTAGAAATATTTGATAATGCTGTATTTCTATACTGTCACTGGGGAAGTTATGATTCAGCTAGGCTCCTTCATTGGGTTGTCAGAGAGGCTTTACATGTTGCTTTAAAAAAAAAAGTGGAAGCCTGCCTTTGACAATCAACCATAAAAGTCTAAAAATCTATTCATCTTTAAATTAGATTGATTGACTAGCTTCTTTTCCAAGGTAGCTTGTTGATCTTTTGTCACTTTCCTTTCAGGAGTGTATTTTGAGAAAGTACTAAAAAGCTCTGATACATCTTTATGGGTGAGGAACATTCAGATGTATCTCTCTGGAATTGCAATAACGTTGCTCGGGGTTTACACAGCCGAAGGCGCTCAAGTAATGGAGAAAGGATTTTTTTATGGCTATACGCCATATGTCTGGTTTGTCATCTGTAAGTACTGGGTTTGGCCTCAAACTTGTAATTGCCCAGATTGTGATGTTTTTGTAGTAATGCCAGCAGTGCTGTTTCAAATATGGGAATGTTTTGGAAAGACAGTAATTGTTAACGTTATCCAAAAGGATGACTTCAATCTAAATGTCAAATTTAGATTTAATTAGATGTAGTAGCAAATTTAAATTGAATACACATCGCAGTTCCTTTCTGCTCAGTACTGTTGAGCAGGACTGAGAAATATGTGGGGATGGCCTGTGGAAGCAGATCCCTTTTATTCTAGAACTGTAATGAAACTTGCCCCACGCCTATTATATCTGTAGAATACAAGAAATCTAATGAATGTTAATTCCGCTACAGTCTATAAACTGTAGAACTCAGCTGCTGAGGTGTACATGAGCTGACATCTGAATTCACACAGCTTGTGAATTATAGAGTGGAGGTTGGTATTCAGGCACCTTTCTGACCTTTTGGGTTTTAACTTCCGTCCACCTCAGTCAAAATCCCAAGTGGTGAGAGAGGGCGGAGAGAAATGTGGAAATAAATTTAGAGGAAAACTAGGTGGGTTATAAGGAGGCTGAGGGTTAATTGCTACCTGGTCTTTGGGACATGTTATAAGCAAATATGCTAAGGAGGATAACCTCTGGGTAAAAGGTACGTGCCTTTCAAAATCACGCCAAGGTGGTGGAATGCCAAAGTTCAATAGTTTGTTTTGGGGAAGATGAACATAATATTAAAAACAGCTGTATTACAGATTTGTGAAGCTCAAAAATCCAGTTTCTTATTAACTCTCCTAGCATTCACCAAAATTCAAGCATAAATGAGGTGTAATTCTTTTAATTTTCGTTTGTTCATGTGGGAATGATCTTGGGAAGTAGAAGGCAGAGCCACAGACTAGGCAACAATCAGGCAAGTGGCAACTTAGCCCGCAGAAGAAATAAGGGTCAGAAATAAGAAATACGTCTCAGAAAAGACCCTCCCAAGGTCCTTGGGAGTATAAAGGCAAAGATGTGGGGATTTTCAGATTTGCAAGATTCTGTTAGTATAACTTACAGTAAACTTAGAGCTAGTACTTCTGGGTGTGCTTCTTGTCTGGACTACCTTGCAAGGCTGATATAAGCTCTATTTTTAGTTCTGTTTCCTCCAGTTATCCCATCCTGCCCTCTGTGGTGTATGGAAGCTAAACAATAAAACAAAAAAGAAGCCCTTCCCCCCCATGCCAATCCATTGTTTAGATTCCAAATCAGGTTGGGTGGTTATGAGGTAAATACCTATTATCAACTGCAAATATAATCTTCAAGTTGTGGTACAGACTATGTCAACCAGGCATTGTACTTGTCAAGAAATCCTCTTGCTCATCCTTCTAAACAAATGCTATAATAGTTCTTTCTACCATGCCAGAATGTATTGGGCCTAAGCACATCTCTTTTTTGTCCTAGTTCTTTCCAGTGTTGGGGGCCTCTATACTTCGGTTGTTGTTAAATATACAGACAACATTTTGAAAGGTTTTTCGGCAGCCGCCGCCATTGTACTCTCTACAGTTGCATCCGTCCTTCTCTTTGGTTTACAAATCAGTAAGTTGCTTTGGACTATTTTGTGTTATTCGTTAAATCATTTATGATCCACAATGTCATGGAATAGGTGTTCATGGAATCAGTGATACTTTACCGTGGTTACATGGTTTAAATTGCTCATAATTTTCGGCTTTAGTCTTCTCCTAATACTATTTATGCAATTTCACAAAGAAAATGGCCAGATTATTGAATTATTTTTCCAGAGTGATCAGATCCTTATCACAATCAAACATTATGTGTCTATAGTGTATTTTTATCATATTTCATTGATTCCACTGAAATGTATTTTTCTGTAAGATTGTTATGAATGACTTGTTTCTCATATAGATAGTCCTTGTTTAGCAACCACAACTGGGATCAACAAATCTGTTGCTAAGTGAAGCAGACTCTCAAGTGGGAAATTAGATGACCATGACTGTGCATTTCTTTCCTCCACTCTTTGGAATGCTTACCCCAGCATTGGGATTAACCAGAAGAGAATTAATGTTTGGATTTACATTCATTGGAGAGCAAGAGATTACAAGAGAGTTAGCAGGCACACAATGGGGAATACACATTGAAAGCAATGCACTGGTGCCAGCAAGACATGAGTATATTGTGCAAACAGCTTAGTGCAGTCCCTATTGTATGCTTGCTTACTTTGTTGTAATCCCTTCCTCTCTCCAATCTCTATTCTGCAAGGGAGGAGAAAAAAGAATAACAGGTTAGGCAAGGACAACATGTACTGTACTGACTGCAGTGGTGATCACATAACTAAAGGAGCTGCAAAAGTCATAAATGTAGGCATTGGCCGTGTAGTTATTTTTTCAGCAGTCATAAATTTGAATGGTCACTGAATGAGGCAGTTGTTAAGCAAGGACTATCTGTATAAGGAAGCTGATGCTTAGTCTTTCAATCATGAAGTGAAGGTGAATAAGAATTTTTCAATCTTCCTAAGGTCTCAGTCATATTTAAATTTAAAATGAAGTTTCCAGTTACAGTGGTACCTTGGTACTCGTCCTCAATTGATTCTGGGAGGTGCAACGAGTACTAAAAACAAATCATGTGATTTACCAGCTTTTTGTTTCAGGCGGGAAGAACTTCCTATCTGTCCCTTTTCCTGTCAGCGACCTTCCCAGCATGGTTGACTTCTTGTCTGACCTCTGCGGCTGTCCCTTCCTTTTTCAGAGATCTTCCCAGCCTGGTTTATTTCCTGTGCACTCTCTGTGGCTGTCCCCTGCTTCCTTTTTCAGTGCATCAAGTACTATGATGAGTACCAGACAACATTTTTACGTCAAAATGCATTTGAGTACCAAATTTGATGAGATTTGAAGCAGTCGAGTACTGAGGTACCCCTGTATGCACTAATAGAATGCCCCTCCCAAAGAAGCTGTAAAATGGAAGTAGATTGTAGCAAGATATCAAAACTACTTTCCAGCAGTGAAACACAACCGATTAAACATTTGTAGAATTCATAATCGAAAGCTGCAAACCAGACTTCTTATTTTCAGTGATGAGGCTGTGATCGGGATACTTTAAACTGAGGGCTTTCTTTTTCCCTTCCAGCTATAACTTTCTCTCTGGGGGCACTGCTTGTCTGTGTTTCAATATATCTGTATGGATTGCCTCGACAAGACACAACAAAAATCCAGCCAGTAGAAACAAAAACGTCAAAAGGGAATCTTACTACCGTGTGACGTCTTGTCTTCATGAAGAATAGAAAAGGAGACAATGTGTATGCCTGTCCCCACCCCCAATTTTCTTTTTGAAAGAAAAGACTTTAATTCTTTGTGGAAAACTTCTGAAAATGAAGTCAGTTATTCATTGGATGAAAATCTACACTGGAGGAAGATTCTTCGCTAATCTGTAGAATCTCATTTTCCTTATAAACGTTGGTCTTTCACAATTGAAGATGCTGTGTGCTGAAAAGAAGGAATGGGAGGCACTGTTATACATAAATAGGGAGATGGCCGTGGAATTTACTCCTATGTTATTATGTAGGCTTTGTTGCCAGAAATGCTTGTGGTTGCAAAGAAAGGTAATTCAAATTTAAATGTGACCAAAACAACATAAAATTATATTGGAAGAATAGTGTCTTTTTCTCCATGGATACCTGGCATGAAGATCCAGCCAAGTGCTGTACTGCTTTAACGATAAAAACCATTGTTGCAATAGGAAAAACACAGAGACAATTGTGAGATGGAAGAATGCTATTACTGGAGCTTTAAAACTGAAAATGGTAACTTATCACTACTTTTTTGGAACACCACAGGAAGAAAAAAAAATACTGTGATTTCTTTTAAGAATTTTCTATTGCAAAAAGGAAGGTGATAGATGACTGTACATACATTTACTCCTGCATTGAATTAACTGGTAAATACATACATTCTTGTACAGTGTTAATTTTTTTTAAAACATTTGATTAAATATGTTTTAGAGAAAGGGAACAAATGCTATGGATTAAATATCATCTAGGTTTATATCTACTGATTTTTGTGAACTTACTTTTATACTGAAATTGTTGAGAGGTAAATATTTTTAAAGCCTTTAGCAGGTTTTCTAAAACGAGGTTTTAAGAAATGAAAATGCATAATTTCTGTAAATCAATCAAATTAAGGCTTGAATGAGAATCTGATAAATCAGATGCGAAGAAGTGATTTTTAACCTTAAAGCCAGCAAGTAGTAATTACTTCCAATTTGGTTATGAACAGAGCACAATTCATTCTGTTTCAGATTGTCTGACTCTAAATGAAATGATTGGTCCTACTTGGCCCAGAATTTGGAGGATGTCATTGTGATGTAAAAGTGCCTCACCCAATTTTTGGAGAGGGAAGGGGGAAAAAAATCTAAGACAAAACCTTCTGACAACAACTGAAGATGAAGGGGGGGGGGGAAAGCAAAATGGAAGATAGACTCTGAATACCACCTGCCCATGCTGTATACAGGTAGTCCTCAATTTATAACCTTTTGTTTAATGACTGTCCAAAGTTACAATGGCCCTGAGAAAAGTGACTTATGACTTTTTCGTACGACCATTGCAGCATCCACGTGATCAAAATTTGGAATGCTTGGCAACTGGCAAGTATTCATGAAGGTTGCAGCGTCCGGGGGGGGGGGTGTCATGTGATCACCTTTTGCAACTTGGCAAGCAAAGTCAACGGGGAAGCCAGATTCACTTAACAACTGTATTACTAGCTTAACAACTGCAGTGATTCATTTAACTGTGGCAAGGAAGGTCAGAAAATGGTGCAAAACTCACTTAACAGCTGTCCTGCTTAGCAATGGGAATTTTAGACTCAATTGTGGTCTTAAGTCGAGGACTACCTGCAATTATTTATCAGCCATTTGGGGAAAAAAAAGGACAACAGACCCAGGGAATAAGTTCAGAGAAACCAAATGTGGAAGCCAGCAGAGATTACTAGGGAAAAATAAGTAGAAGTTATTATCTTTTTTTTTTTTAGCAATTACTCTCCAGAGAGGAGAAGAAACCTCATAGTAAGCCTTCTATTTGTTGTGCACCTCTCTACTTTTTTCTGTATCATAGTAAGAAAAAGTAAAATTGTAAACGTGATAGTGGATGCTTTATTCCCACAGTGGAAATAGCACGGAGACATTTTTTTCCTGGAATAGAGGTAGCCTAAGCTTCGCAGTACATATTTCAAAATCGGATCCTCTTTGAGAGATTGGTAGCAAGGTTTCTATACGCACTTCGTCCTGCATCTTCATGTAGGCCTCCTTTGCACACTGGCAGGGTGGGGGGAGGGGATGGTTCTGTGCCAGCGGCCGCGCACAACTCCATTTGTACAAATGCCTGGCATGTGTGCCTCCCACTCAGGCAAATGGAGTGTGCATGCACGCATTCGCTCACTGCTCGCGCAAGTGGGGATGCATGTGTGCATGCCCACAGCCCGGATGCAAACAGCTCATGGCCTACTAGTGGGCTACAGCCCAGAGGATGGGAATCCCGACCCTGTACCATTTCAGACAAGTGGCTGTCCAGTCTTTTCTTAAAAACTCCAGTGATGAAGCGCCCACTGGCAAGCTGTTCCACTGATTAATTGCAATGGCCTACTGTGCAAATATATAGGGTGCTTTTTAAAATAATTTTTCCAGTAGAGGCGGATAATTTTCCTTGGGTCATACCAGCTTCATCTTATTTCTTAAGGTCTGAAAAGTGTTAAAGTCAGATGAAGCAGCCAGGCAAAGACTGCATCCACAGGACTTCCATAACTCATAACGGCAAGATAGCTTTTATAAATAAATGTACCACATATATTTTAAAAAATGCCCACCTTCCAAGCCAAGTGCTTATGAGGAACAAAAAGGAAAGAGAACAGGCTCCACAGTTCTAATATTCTCATAATGACAAAGCTTTGCATTGCAAAAATACAAAATGGGACTTAATTTTTAAGCATTATTATTTGGGGCCAATTGCACAGCTGCTGAAATTTCCAAGTGGCTGAAAGGTTTTGATTTCAGAGCAGGTCAGTAGAGCAGCAAAGACATAGTCGTACAGCATGGCCCACACGTGGGTGCATCACAACCATTTAATTCAAATACCAATAAAAGCTGGAATTGGCTTTATAATAAGAGAAGAAAAATTCCTATCAAAAGGACTTCCGAACATTCCCACAGCTCTGGAATGGCCACGAAGTCCAAAACGGAGATCAAATAATCTTCATAAGGGATACATAGGAAAAGCATCAAGGAAGTTCCCCCATTACATTTTATCCACAGGTGTGATTCCTAGGAGCTTCATTCCGTTGGCTAGAACAGAGCGGGCAGCGTGAAAAAGGCAGAGCCTTGCCTGGAAAAAAAGGGGGGAGGGATAAAGAAGAGGCATTGGTAATTTTTGTCATCTGCTTCTTATGAAAGCAGCATCCTATTCATGCCCCCACCCCCTGCTCCGTGCTATGGTAGTATAAAGCATTTTAGAATAAGAGCTATTAAAATGCCCATTTGTACCAATAATTCTGCAGCTTGATCTTTGTGAAGAATCTACTTCTTTTATTTCCTCCCGTGTCTTCTCCCACTTCCCCAAATCTGCGGTTGAGAGACCCTGCCCATCGGCATAAAGCCGATTTTGTACACATTATTTGGTCAAGGAAACTTCCCCCCCTTTAGTTTCTTCTTTGGGAAGACTTAGACTCCACCTTCAGAAATTGGCTATTCATGTTGCATCGATGTACCTCTATTTCCCTGATGCTCACTAACCTTATTCCTGCATATCCTTGGATGTTTGTGTGCTTAGTGACTTCTCATGCACATCAAGTTCATCTCAGTGGGGGAAAAAAAACATCGCATCTAATACCTTTATTTGTTTTCTCTCTCTGCTTCTGAGGTGTCAGAGACCCACTCCAGGTAAAACCTTTCACTGATGCACATCTACGTGTTATTTCTGCTCATGTAGCACAAAACAGCTGCATTCAAGGCTTCCTTCTGTCTTTCTTAGGAAGTTACAAGGGTATGAAATAGTTTTTACCCTGTATCTAGCTGATGATGCACAACCTAAAATATTCAACCTGGAGTATTACAAGTACTTTAGGCTGACTATTCCTAGAGCTCCCAGTCAGCTGTTACTCTGAGTTATACTTTGCATGTATTGTCTATTGATGGATATAAGACCAGTCTGAGTTTTGATTTGTGGCCACTTAATGTTAAGCAATATTCACAGCTCCCGGGGACAATCTTCAAAAGAACAGCATTCTAGTCCACATGCTGAGCTACTGCAGTAGACTTATTTCATCTTCCAGTTCCCTTGTTTCCAGATACAAAACTCTGCCATTCATCTATCCCTTTAACTCAACTGTTCTGTTGTTTGTCCATCGATTTCGATGAAGACCTTGACATCTTATGGATTATGGGCCATCAGCGGTGTGTCCGTAGATGGCTGATGAGACCGATGTTAGCACGGAATGTTCTGCCACATACTGAACAGAGAAATGTGGACACTATTGCTTATTCCACCTTTCAATAGCAACCTTTCTACAAGAGGTTTTTCTCTGGGTTTACTGCTTAGGGATAACAAATTACATTCGAACACTGAGAAGAATTATTGTATTGTAAGCTGGATCATGAGGTGGGTGGCATATACATTCAATACCTTTAATAAATAAATAAAATAAAATTAATGTTACCTGAGCGAGGTCCAGAGGGCTGCCCTTCACAGGAAGATTTCTGTGAGCTGCTGATGCTAAATGACTGAAACAGAAATACCAAGACTGAGATCACACTTTCCAAAAGAGAGCAATCCTAAACTAAGCAGCCACAAACATAGTACTGCTGATTTCTAAGTGAGCTACACATGCTTAAGTTCCAGGTGGAATAAGAACATCTTGCTTGGCCAAACACTGCAAGGGCTATGGAGCATATAGAACTTCCACTGTGGTTTGGTTCAAAAGCTAGAGCAGTGGTTCTCAACCTGTGGGTCGGGACCCCATTTGGGGTCGATCGACCATTTCACGGGGGTCGCCAAGCAAGGCTGTCCGCCATTTTTTTGTCCGCCATTTTTTTGTCCATTTTTTTCCCCTTTTCCGGCGGGTGCCTTACCTCCCTTGGGCTGGGCCAGCTGGTAGTCGGCCTGCTCCGTCTCTGCCGCTTGCCAGCTATGCCTCGGCCGGCACAGGGGGCGGAACCACGCATGCGCAGCGCTCCTGGGCAGGGAAAGTCCTCGACTTACGACCGGTTTAGTCCTTGACTTACGACCGGTTGGGGTCGCAGCATTAAAAAGGTTGAGAACCACTGAGCTAGAGGGTGCTAATTCTTGTTTCTGGCCAAGGAGAACAGTGTTGTTTGAAGAAGGAAAAAAAAACTCACATTCATAACCTTAGTTCAAGCTCTACAATAGTCACTGACCATAAGCAAGCTTGTTCTGTGTTGAACATAAGGCTTGATCCGGCCTTTGTAAACTCTGCTGCAAGAGCATTCCCCAACCTTGTAAATTCTAGCTCTGTTAGGACAACTCCAAGAATTCCCAGTGGGCAGAAGCAGTAAGATTTCCGGACATTATTGTCTTAACATTCTGGAGGACACAAGGCTGGGAAAGGCTGTGCTGACACACCTTTAAGTTGAATTTACCTTATATATTGGCTGCTTTCATATAACTTAAATAGCCAGTGGTTGCATATGCACAACCAATTGAACATGATTAATTTAAACCCTATTCGTGACTTGTGTGGCCTGGTTGGATAGATTATGAGTCAAATGTATTATGCAAAGCTATAACATGGCTTAATTCAGTAATGAGGTAAATGCGCTGCATATTTCTCTAATGGGAATGGCGTCTTAATTTAGCCTTGACCTACCATGTGCACAGTAATTAAGGGAGCTCTGTATTTTTTTCCTACTAATGTCAACTTTTTATTCAAGCCCATCTGCTGCACAGTATAATATATATGAATCTTAATTTCATCCTTTGAGATGTCTATGAAAGCAAAAATATGCCACATATGTACACGAGAAATAAAAGCAACCTTTAAAACACTGGA